TAGCTACTATACATGTGTAGTAGCTACTACTACATGTATAGTAGCTACTACACATGTAGTAGCTACTACACGTGTAGTAGTAGCTACTACACGTGTTGTAGCTACTTGTGCTACTACATGTGTAGTAGCTACTACACGTGTTGTAGCTACACAAGTAGCTACTACACGTGTTGTAGCTACTACTACACGTACTACACGTGTAGTAGCTACTACACGTACTACACGTGTAGTAGCACAAGTAGCTACAAATGCTACGGACCCCGCACTTCCAAGGGCCCCGCGCTAAATGCTTTCAAGCTGTCAATTCCAGTTCAGTGATTCTGCACTGCGACTTTTATGAACGACTGGGTGTTTAAGGTTAGCGATCTGTCGTATTATCTGGCTGTATAGCAAATGAAAACATACAATTACTTTACTATGCAAATTAGAAATTAGTGTTTTAATATTTGTGGGGTTTGTTTCGAATTTAGGGCCCCTTTATAACATATGCTACAGGCCCCGCACCAGCTTAAGCCGACATTGGAGTCGTCGTGGGGTTTTCCTCCGCGTTCTCTGATGCCAAACTCTAAAAAAAAAGTATTGGCCAAAACGCCACCGGATTTCCTGGTTACGCAAATGGCACTTCCAGTACTGTCGCTCTACAAAACGCCTCAAATGCTTCAAAATCGTGCACACTGCCGAACAATTTATTTTTAGGGTCACCTCAGCATGAAATTTAGTCGTCCCCATTGTGTTGTGTCCACACATTCCCATTGCCGCTGCCATGATACACACCTCCAACAGGCTGCGGTGGCCGATGGGATGTGTAAAATAATAATAAATCCTTCAATGTTTTCGTTGGAGGGACATATGGAGGTTTTGCTTATTTATTTTGGCCACGAACATGAGGCCGTGCACGGTGGGATTCTGCTGCGGTGCTCACACTGGGGCAACATCCATTGTACTCATAATCTTTGTTTTTTTTCCCGGTAAAGTCACGTAGGTAAAAATAAAATAATATAATAAAACAACTAAATTAAATCACGACGTTTCGGAGGCAACACAAGCTTCCGTCTTCAGGTGGAACAGTCACAGCAAGATAGCTGCATCAAGTGAGCAGCTCTGAGACACCCGAGCTTATATACAGGTTAAGGGGGGGGGGGGAGGAGCCATGCCGGGGATGATGATGAGGTGCAGGGCTAAGTTAATCCGTCTTTTGTTATGCTGAGGGTTCGGGGGATGCGGTGGTTCACTGCACGAGGGCAATGGAAAAAAGGCTGTGCACTTATAAGGCAGCTAAAGTTTTGACTTGGTTTATTACATCTTTCCAGTGGTTGCTTAATTTAAAACCATCTTCTCGGTTGAAGTTGTGTCTATGTTTGTATATCTGGATGGCTTCATGGACAAATCTTTGGTAATTACACGGAAGGTTTGCATAGTACTTTGGTATCGGAGAAAACAATATCATTAGAACCCACTGTGTTGAGACAATGATCAGCTACGGCCGAATAATTCATTCTGCGTGTTTCAAATCTGATTTGTGCTCGAGAATTCGGTCAGAAATATGTCGTTTTGTCTCCCCGATATAGCAGTCACCGCAGATACAACTCAATTTGTAAACACCGGGGTACTGTAAGTCAGGAATGACATCCTTTACGGATGGGATCAGATCACGGATTTTGTGTACTGTATTGAACCGAACCTGGATCTTGTGTTTGTTTAGAATTTTGGAAATCTTTTTGGTAACGCCTGCTATGTATGGCGGTGTGATGATTTTGATCGGAGTATCAAGTGGTTGTTTCTGTATGGTGGGAGAAACAGCTTGGCGGATGATACGGTCAGAGTAACCGTTCATCTTGAGGGCTAGATGTACATGTTTTAATTCACTGGTCAGGTGGTGTTGGTCAGAAATGCAATGAGCTCTATGGTATAATGTTTTGATAATTGCGGTGACTGCTATATCGGGGAGACGAAACGACATATTTCTGACCGAATTCGCGAGCACAAATCAGATTTGAAACACGGCAGAACGAATTCTTCGGCCGTGGCTGATCATTGTCTCAACACAGCGGGTTCTCATGACATTGTTTTCTCCGATACCAAAGTACTATGCACACCTCCCGGTTATTACCAAAGATTTGTCCATGAAGCCATCCAGATATACAAACATAAACACTACTTCAACCGAGAGGATGGTTTTAAATTAAGCAACCACTGGAAAGATGTAATAAACCAAGTCAAAACTTTAGCTGCCTTATAAGTGCACAGCCTTTTTCCCATTGCCCTGGTGCAGTGAACCACCGCATCCCCCGAACCCTCAGCATAACAAAAGACGGATTCACTTAGCCCCGCACCTCATCATCATCCACGGCCTGGCCCCTCCCCCCCACCTTAACCTGTATATAAGCTCGGGTGTCTCAGAGCTCCTCACTTGATGCAGCTATCTTGCTGTGACTGTTCCACCTGAAGACGGAAGCTTGTGTTGCCTCCGAAACGTCGTGATTTAATTTAGTCGTTTTATTATTATATTATTTTATTTTTATTTTACCTACGTGACTTTGAAAAAACGAAAGAGTGTGAATCCTTGCAGTCATGAAAGCTTCAAATCTATAATCCATTGTACTGTGCTATGCCTCCACGTCTTTTCTCTCCGCCTTCACCAAACCAGCTGTGATCGGCATGGTGAAGTACGGGCAAATAATGCCTACAACGAGTGTCATGGCAGGGAGGCCCTCATCCGGAAAGTCACCAACGTTGCACGTAATGACGTTACCGGAGAATGGCCCACACAGTCAGGAGTAGAGCAGCCGCACACGATCATACGGACAGATTTCTTTATAGAGAGAGATGCACAATTTTCTACAAAGCAAAATAAAGAGACACTATTAACCATCGAGGAAACGACCGCTTTCGGGTAAAACAAAGTGTTCGAAGTGTGATTAGAACAACCATGCGCAGATAAATAAACACAAGCGGGGACCCTCGCGAACCGAGTTTGCAAACTGGACGAAAGCTGAGCGTGGCCTGAACGCCACGGTGGTTGACGGAGACGACCTGGGGCTCTTTCGCCAAGAATACGACGAAATTTTACTTTTCGTCGAGATTGCAACCGTGGTTCCACGAGCTCTCAACTGCAGGCAGTCTCGTAGTCCGCAACTCTTAACAAATGCTCTCTCATTCTTGGTTCCTTCGGTAAAGTCACTACGTAGAAGGGAAACAATGAATTAATACAAACATAAAACAATAAAATTCTCACGACGTTTCGACTGCAACGCAAGCAATCATCACCAGGTGTGAAAACCACAGCAAGAAATTTTGAAAAAAGTGGCGTTATTTTCCTTAACGTTCGCACCACGGACAGCGATTTTGGCAGTTGTTCAGATGGACGAGTCCATCTATGTCCTCTCCCCCCTCCTCTTTTCCGAACATAGATCGACTCGTCCATCTATGTTCGGAACATAGACCGCCACTTTTTTCAAATTTTCTTGCTGTGGTTTTCACACCTGATGATGACTGCTTGTGTTGCAGTCGAAACGTCGTGAGAATTTTATTGTTTATATCTTTATTATGTTATTGTTTCCCTTCTAAGTGACTTTACCGAAAGAACCAAGAATATGAATCCCTGCAGTCACGAAAGCTTTAAATCAAAATGCTCTCTCGCTCGTTAACTCAAACGCATCACTCCCTTGGCACGTCAAAGTCCCCCCCCCCCCGCATCCTGCATGCTGCTCTGCCCTCGGTAATGCGTCCACATCATGCATCGACACAGCTTGAGTTGAATGTTTTGTTTTTAAAATCGCAAGACTTGTACGTTTGGGTCGGCTGTGGCTTGGCCGACCCCTCCGCGTATTGTAATTTACAATTGTGTACCAACATTGTAAAATAAACAACACAACACAGGCCGCGCGCTCTTCGTGTACTCGCCTATATACACAAGTCGTACGGTGAACTCTCGATGATCCTTGGGCGCACAATCCCTCCTTGCGGATTAACCGTGCTCGCGAACACAAAAACTGAAGGAGAGCCTTTTGCGTGCGTGCCGCACAAACAACAACTCGACACATTCGTCTACGGCATCGCTTCAAAGGAAAACAATGTTAAGGTCGTAGGCGACGATCACGGCAATGACCCCCCCCCCACCTTCATGACACGCTTATAAAGGGCCATTGCCCGAAACGTCGCCTGTATTTGTTCCCCATTAAGGCCACAGCATTGCAGGCGTCGTTTGAGATATTGACGACTGCAATACATTCGTCATTAACAATTAAAACCGGATGACACGTGCCACATCTTGACCCATTCCTCCCCAACATTCATGACCTCCTTCAGCCATATATTCCATCAAGATTATTAAGATCCTCCGACTGTGCACTGCTCACTGTCCCACGGTCTGGGCTACACACTTGGGGGTGGTGACAGCGCCTTTTGCAATTGCGGGAGCTCAACTATGGAACTCGTTGCCCTGACCCGATACACTCAAACGTATCTGCTTAAAATGGCTTTCTCTCTCTCGAGTTAACTTTCAAACGTCTTTCGCACTTCTGCATTCATCGGTTGATGCTAAACTGTTTCCGCCTTTCCGTGCACAGCGCCCTGAGAGCGATTGTTTAAGGGGCGCTTTATAAATAAAATACATGTACTATTATTATTATTACTACAGTCCTACTCGAGTCGGTAATGAACCCGTGTTTACGAATGTCTGGGTATCATCCGGGTTTTGGTCGTACAAGGGCCGAAGAGTCGCCCATCAGCCGGGGTAGCCGAGTTGGCTGCGCGCATCGATGCTGACGGTGGATGATGTTGGCAGTTTAACACGTCCGCTTTCGCGACCAATATCATCCATAATACAGGGGGGTTTATGGGGTTAGTGTTTTTGGGGGTTAGATCTCACCGAAAAAAACCCCTCTATTATGGATGCTGTTGGCATTGCGAAACGGTGGCCCCAGAAGCATGCACACACACAACACACACAGATCTCTTCCGACCATAGCCATCATCAAATATAAACTCACATTTACACGTTTTAAATTGTGCGCATACTTTACTGCAGCTATATATATTTTTTATTATCATACGAGACTCTCTACTCACAAAAGGTTACATTTATCGACGATGCAGCTAAACCAGTCGATGAAAATCAAACGGAATCACATTCCTGCCAGTTCAAAAGCGATCCCGGCACACTGCCCTGGTAGGGAGAATCAGGATATGTTAAAAGCGTGGTCTCGTTCTAAGCCCCCTTAACCACAACTCCCAGCCCGACACAACCTCTTAATTACACGCGACCGTGTGTGTGTGTATATACACACTATATATTGTACATGTCACGCCAGACAACGGTGCAAAAATACATTCTCATCGAGAATAATTCCACTGCAACATTCCCCGCCTGCGTCTCTCCTCTGCCGTGAAAGGCAGCGGGAGAATTTAAAGAGACGTCGTTACACGCGGCTGGGCGGTAAAACGAAGTCAGCCACTTCGCGACGACCCCTCCCCCCCACCCAATACAAACAATATTTATTCGTCGCTGCAAAGCATCTCGGGCGCACTAATCGGCTACTAGAGGGCGACACTTCACAATTGTAGCACGCTCATTGAGTTTCAAGTAGTCCGAGCACGATCAATGTTTAATGCTGGCTAATGTGTGGTTGGACCGTCAAAGGTATTTAGAAGTCCTATTTGTACCTGGGTGAGTTAATAGCTTCCATACCCCCCTGGTCTACATCAACCACGCGCCTCGCGTACTCATCATTGCCTTATTGGACACGTGGCTCCCTAAGATAAGAACCTACAGTGGCTCTCATCGTTGCTGGTAACCTTAATTGTTGTGCACACCCGCTCCCACCCGTGTGTTAGGGCTCCCGGCATGATCGGTGTCTCTCCGTCTCGGTTGTCGTCAAAGTTGTTTCCGTAGTTCCATTTGTGTGTCAGTCTCCATGTCTGCGTCTCTCTCTCTCTGCAGGTCACCCCCCCCCCCCCCGTCTCTCTGTACATGACTCTTTTCTTTCTATGTCTGTGTCGGTCGGTCTATCACTCTTCGTGTCTGTTTTAAGGGCGCCCCGTTCCCCCGTTCGCAGTGCCCTGGCCAATATTAAAGCTTGGCGGTAGGAATTATTTCCGCACAGCCCTTCACATGCATTGTCCAACACAACAGACAACCATCATCGCTACCGTCAGTGTGGGTAGCCACGGTGTTTGCTCTGTGCATTGTACCGAATGCACATTCACCGCGCGCTCTCAACCCCGAGGGCGGTGATGCTGGCGGTGGTATCAGCGGCACCCCTCGTGATGACCTCTCAACAAGATTAACTCGAACTTATTGAGTGTCTCCGCAGCCATCCTGTTGTAGCCAACTCTAAATAAGGAGATGGCGGGGACACTGCTGTTCAATAGAAAGGGGGCATGTGCACGTGTCCCACCCAGCCCCCAAATTTCATAGAATCGCAACCGACACGAATGGGCATACAACGATGACACGTGCGCCGTGTCGGCTGCCGCTTGCGACTCCACACAGCCGCGTGTCATGCTGCAATAAAGCCAAGGGCCAGGACACGCAACGCAATACGTGCTGGGTGTACGTACGGACAACTCTCGGTTATCCGTGGGTGGATCTTCCAGCGCTTGCAAAATTATACGTGTGTATTTCACACTTTGCTGGTTCTATGATCAGATGCTCCTCACTTGTCGCGGGCCAGCGAGTCTGTCCACATGACCGCAAACACATCAAGTATGCCGATTTACTTGAAGATGCAACTTAGACGTAGCCTACACATCTTGACTCCCACTCTACGCGTGTAACCGAGACATGCTGAGACCCCAAGTAACTCGTGTTCTGTATTATCCGTATTCTTGTTTTATCCAGGCCACCTCTCTGCCACTCTTGAACATACAAATTTGATTTTTTTTGTCAATGGGGGGGCAGGCACCCCCATCGCCCCTCCTCCACTGACATTGCCACGGTTAATTGAGTTTTTTTCCCCTTTTACACAATTGATGAGCACAGTCCCAAAGGCCCCAAGACATCAATGTCCAGCAACAGACAGCTCTGTCAAAGTTGTAATCGATTAAAGTTGACTTTTTTTATAGAAAGGTTACCGTGAGAGCTTGGGAGAAGAGACGACGGGAACCCAAGTGGAGCAGTAGGAGGGCAGGAGAAGACGTGATGCGACCTGCAGTGTGGGTGAGCGGTGTGACCTGCAGTGTGGGTTAGCGGTGTGACCTGCAGTGTGGGTGAGCGGTGTGACCCGGGTGGTGTGACCTGCAGCGTGGGTGAGCGGTGTGACCTGAGTGGTGTGACCTGCAGTTTGGGTGAGCGGTGTGATCTGCAGTGTGGGTGAGCGGTGTGACCTGAGTGGTGTGACCTGCAGTGTGGGTGAGTGGTGTGACCTGCAGTGTGGGTGAGCGGTGTGACCTGCAGGGTGGGTGAGCGGTGTGACCTGAGTGGTGTGATCTGCAGTGTGGGTGAGCGGTGTGACCTGCAGTGTGGGTGAGCGGTGTGACCTGCAGTGTGGGTGAGCGGTGTGACCTGCAGTGTGGGTGAGCGGTGTGACCTGAGTGGTGCGACCTGCAGTGTGGGTGAGCGGTGTGACCTGCAGGGTGGGTGAGCGGTGTGACCTGAGTGGTGTGATCTGCAGTGTGGGTGAGCGGTGTGACCTGCAGTGTGGGTGAGCGGTGTGACCTGCAGTGTGGGTGAGCGGTGTGACCTGCAGTGTGGGTGAGCGGTGTGACCTGAGTGGTGCGACCTGCAGTGTGGGTGAGCGGTGTGACCTGAGTGGTGTGATCTGCAGTGTGGGTGAGCGGTGTGCCCTGCAGTGTGGGTGAGCGGTGTGACCTGCAGTGTGGGTGAGCGGTGTGACCTGAGTGGTGTGACCTGCAGCGTGGGTGAGTGGTGTGACCTGCAGTGTGGGTGAGCGGTGTGACCCGGGTGATGTGACCTGCAGCGTGGGTGAGCGGTGTGACCTGCAGTGTGGGTGAGCGGTGTGACCTGAGTGGGGTGACCTGCAGCGTGGGTGAGCGGTGTGACCTGCAGTGTGGGTGAGTGGTGTGATCTGAGCGGTGTGACCTGCAGTGTGACCTGAGTGGTGTGACCTGCAGTGTGGGTGAGTGGTGCGACCTGCAGTGTGGGTGAGTGGCGAGTCCTTGTTGCCTAAACTTGTCATCAGGGCACACTCGAGCGTGACACAAGTGACAGCCAGGCAGCGTCTCCCTTGCATTCTGCTCAGATTAAACAGAAGCTTTGGGCCCTGCGAAGGTAGAATTAGGCAGAACGCGTTACACAGTAACGGGGTGGGGCGGGGCGTGACGGTCAACACGAGCGGACTTGTCGGGCGAGTGTCGGGCGAGCCAACCGCCTGAACCTTGGACACGGCCGACGCTGGTCATTGTTGAACACCAGAACAGGAAAAGCGACACGCACAGTGAAGAGACCGCACGTTGCAATCGTCGCGGATGCAGAGCACTTGAGTCAAGCGCACGAGCCATCCAGACCCACCGGCCCGACTCAAAACGTAACCACCACGATAGGCGAGTCCAAGCGCGAACCACAAATGAGCTCCATCCTCACCCGCGCGAACGAGCGACCGAGACACTGGGCTGGGCCTGCCCAAAGCCATCAAGCGGGCAGCCGTCGTACACCCTGCTCCAACTACAGCAGCCGACCAGACAAGCCCAAATGTGATGCTCGAGCGATAGCTCTAACTAGCCGAGCGCAGCAATACCCCGGCCAGCGAAGCTTCTGGGAACCAAGGAGATACCTTTATAACGAAAGTCGAACACGGAGGGGCCTCTTCATCTCCGTATTTTTGCAACAACAACAAAACATCGACGAAATGAAATGTCTTTAGAATGTATGCAAAGCGATGTTTTTTAAAAGGTAGAATTTCTGTTCACGCTGCATATGTGATATACAGGAAACAATGTAACACGATTTTTGTCCCTGGGTAGTAAGTGTTATTTCTTATTGCTTATGCCTAAAAAGTATAGAAAATTTCAATTATTCCCCACAAACTTTGCTTTTGTGACCAGGACTTTACGTGAACGAAAGACACAAATGCACACCACGTTTTCTCATTGAAAATAGGTACGTTTCAAAATATCACTGTCCTGGTCACAAAAGCAAAGTTTGTGGGGAATAATAGCCATTTTTTTGTACTTTTGAGGCATAGGCAATTAGGAAACAACACTTACTGCACAGGGGCAAAAAAAAAACAAGTTTGGTGACACAGCGAATGATCAGCGAAGAGCGTCGTGAGTATCCCTCACTCGGCCTCAGCCGCGGTCTTCTCTCGCTCACCATTGCTCATGCCCCGAGTGTTGGTAAAGAGTTGTCGCGTGTTTTTTGCAGCGATACGAATGCTTTATTACCACCCTTTGTCATCCAAATTATCCCTCTGGGAGCGAACATGCAGATCATAAAGGAGGGTAGAGGCGGGAGAGAAGAAACGTGAAGCGGCGTGTTCGTTTGGATCAACGCAGTCCATCTTAAATAGCATTTTAAACCCAGCGGACAACAGAAACATACTTTGCTGCAGAAATCGAGTGACCTTAGTGCTACTGAATTCGCATGCTCACGAAGCAGTGTTATTGAGAAACTGTTGAGTGTTTGGGTGTCCTTGATGACGCGACGTCACATCCACTCGGCCATGCACTGATAATACAGAAGGCACGGAGCCTATTTGATGTTTTCCGATTAGTTACCCCCCCCCTCCACCCTTTCTCTGAAGTCCTTGAAGGCATCCCGATTCCCCTCCTCTGTTCTCTCCACCTCTGGTAACGAAGTTTCTGACGTGACGTCATGGGACGCATCCGCTTTGTTAACCGAGGTATTACTGTGCGCCTGAGTCCTGCCCTAACGCTTATCAACCAGAGTCCCGCTTCCCACCTAATCATCCTGACCACACTAAACCAAACACAGTTCGGCGAAAACGCCAACGAGCAAAGCAGCTCCGGCCGCTAAGCCCTCCCAAACGACGCGGCAAGCCCCGGTTTTGGTTCGCCGATGTTCACATTCGGTGCACGGTCGTGACAAATGGGGAGTTGTCGAGACTGGATTAACAAACCGTGCGTGTGGCTCTGGGCAGTGACACTCGCACGTTCGCTTGCATGTATCACCACTCACGTGTATGTACAGACTCGTTATCCTGTGACAAAGGCGGCCGGGCGTGGTGCTGGTGGCCACCCAACCCACTCGTGTGCCGGCCTTCATAGGCGCTCGCTAACAGCACTTGCCCAACAGTCTGTCCAAGGCTATACGGGGGCATCTTTGTCTTTGTACATAGCAATGTATGCATGTGTTTATAGAAACTAGTTATCATGTGGCCACATCTGGTGGCACGAAAGGTATTGCCGTGGCACGTACTCGCTCGTGTTTATTACTTTCAACCAACAGGGACGTTCAATTTAACACGTAGGATTTCGCGGTCAATATCAGCCGTAATGTTTTTTTTGTGTTAGATCGCGTAAATATATAAATGTGTTGTTAAACCCGCCACCAAATCTGGCTGTCGCCTGATGAAGCTAGTTGTAATTACTGGCGAAACGTCGTACTCAGATTGTAAATGTTGTGGCTTGGCTCCCCAACACACCGGTTAGTGCTGTACTAGTGACGAATTGGCCACGTTCTGTTTACGTGGCAACCCTTACTAGTTGGCTGTGTCGGGTGGTGGCGGGTTTAACGACACCTCTCTCTATATAGACCCTGCCTCATTTCTCTGTAGCCCCCCCCCCCTACTCTGCCGAATTGGGCCTCACCCCTTCCTCTTTCCCCATCGACACCTTTTAAGGCCCCGCCTCCTCTTTGTTTAACCCCGCCCCCTTCCCCCCCCACCCCCAGGGGTTGGCCTGCTCTGGGTAGTGGTGGAAGTTGTGGTGGTTGAGTGGTGGTGGAGGTTGTGGTGGTTGAGTGGTGGTGGAGGTTGTGGTGGTTGAGTGGTGGTGGAGGTTGTGGTGGTTGGGTGGTGGAGGTTGGATGGTGGTGGAGGTTGTGGTGGTTGAGTGGTGGTGGAGGTTGTGGTGGTTGGGTGGTGGTGGAGGTTGTGGTGGTTGAGTGGTGATGGAGGTTGTGGTGGTTGAGTGGTGGTGGTGGTTGAGTGGTGGTGGTGGTTGGGTGGTTGAGTGGTGGTGGAGGTTGTGGTAGGAAAGGGGGGGGTCAGTCGGGGGTGGGGTAGATTTTAGACGACCACCAGAATCCATCAGGGCAACATAGTAACAGTTGTATTTGTTTGTATATATATAGCGTTGTGATTGTTGCTGTTGTAATATATGTACGCATATAGCATTATATTTAAGGCAGTAGTGCAAATACTCTCGGTACATTAGTGCATGCCATAACTCTGTGCGCTGTAGTCACGGCAACGGTCTTATTTGTCATTCTAGTCATCAAATTATAAGAAACAACAATCACGGTAATAAATCAACAACAACAAACCTCCCTCCACCCACTACGTAGAAATCACTGTCACGCGACCACCCACAAATACGGCCGAAATACTGCAGGACGATCACAAAGAGCGGCGGTGACCTGGTCAAGCGACTCGGCGGATAGGCCGTGACCCTGTGGAATCCGATTTACAGGTTAAAATGTCACGCCACGTGATATGATAGACATGTTTACATGTAACCACCAAGCGTAATCTGGTTGCATGTAAAATATAATCTCGGCGTAACCCGATTTAAAAGTTAAAAGTAACCCCGTGTGAGATGATTACCATACCTGTCAGCCCATAAGTTTACCCGTATTCTTGTATAGGGAAATTTAGTTGTGATGTTCATGCAGCGTACAGCCGTTTCAGTACGGGCAAAAACATGTTTTGTCTATTTGTGATTCTCCCTTGTAATGAGACTTTGTAAGATGAACGTTGAGATGTTATAAGAGGCACGGGGTGAGACCAATAAGGTCTGAATTGGTCTGTAATAAGGTAGGGCACTGATAAGAGGTTGACAGATATGGGTTACATGGTTAACTTGCACCCTGCGTAATCCGATTTACATGGCAAACTTGCCTCTACGAATAAACAAAACCCAGCAGTTGCTGTAAATGAATGCCGGCTGCTAGCCAGGGGCTGAGTCGGGTAAGGGGAGAGCGGATGGTCAGGAACCTCTTGAAGACACAGCCAAACTCTTAAGCGCAAGAAGTTATCCTGTCAAGACGTGCCCAAGCTGTGAGATGCCAACACAACTTGGTAGTTTTCTTTATAGGAAAGGGGGGGGAAAAAAACCTTTACATTTAAAACCAGTACCACAATCGATGGTGGTAATATTGCCATCAATTGTTGGTGTTTTTACATGCTGCTGTTCCTGTTTTTCAAGTCACTATTTGTTGAAATTTGACCAACTTTAAAAAAAAAACGAATTTACATTCTTAACAAGGATTAGTCCCCCATTTATTTAAAAGTTTCTTTGTTCGCTTATTATTACATTATAGAGGTAGATCGATCTGAAGGGCGCGTATGACCGTGTTCCTTTCATAATTTAGCGAAGCTGTAAATCGGTGTCTGGGACAGACCCGGACACAGTCTGTGTGTGAATCTGCAAGACACACTTCCACCGACATCGGATTCCACAGAGCGAAGTAGGAGGGTGGTGCCAACTCTGCTCATCGATGGCACGGGCCCGCTGGACTTGTTGTCAAGTGGGTCGGGAGGCTGAGGTTGCGTTGCCTTTTAAAACACTCGGGTCGTCAATCCACCCCTCCGCCAACACACAAACTGCGCGCGCAGCTTTACGCACGGGATGATTCGATGCCGTCACTGCCGACTGGAATTTTGAAAACACAAGTTCGCAATTGAAAACAAGTAAGCGGAAACGATGATGATCAAGATAGTAACACATCTTCACTGGACGCAAAGGCTGTATTGTAACAAAACAATATTAGGGCATGAAATAAGTGTTTTGTAAAGTCACGTTTGTGGTACAGAACAATTTCAGGACTGGTAACTACTGTACATTTAAAACCGCCCTGCTGTCTGTGTGACTCGCTGGGTTTCCAATTACTACAGTAGGATGCAGCTCCACTCTTCTGAACACACAGTGCATCCTTTATTCTAAATGAACTTGAAAATGTAGTTTTCACAACCCATATGTCGGGTGTGGAAGGGTTTCACTACAAACATTTTGCCGGATCATTGCATGTTGTAACCCCAAAAATCTATTATGAATTATAAATAAACGTCAACAAAATATATACTGCACTTGTACATATACAGCCCTTTTTATGAATTCACTGCTGATTGAGGGCCTCCAAAAATTTTTTGTGCAAGCCACGAGGGTTTTTCGAGGGAGCAAAGATGCGAGAAAGCATAGCAGTACAGTACAACGAAGGATGTTAGCGAAACCTTCCTCCGCTGCCCAACACGTGCTCACGCCGAGAACCTGAAAACATTCGTCCTGGTCTCGAGCTGAGTGAAACACCTTTCAGTTCTGTTCTCTCAGCGTTCCGACGTTTCCGATCGGGAATTGACGAGCGCGGACGATAATTGGGAACCCCCAGAACCAGTCCCCAGACTAAACATTCGCTGCGAGCTGTATGCACAACAGACATTCACCACTCCACAGTCCACGGGTGCCGGATCAGGACCAGACACCTCATTGGCAGTGCCTGCTAGAGGAACGTCCCAATAAGGAGGAGCGGTGGCCCAAAATATCAAACCTTTTCAAGAGGGCCCTGCATTAATAATAATACAAATTCAATGCATTTACTCTTATGAAATATAAATAAGATACGCATTTTTGGGGGTCCACCACTACTTGTCGGTGCCAGCTGTATGGGAAGCTTGGCGATGATTCATTGAAAACCTGCAGAGCTAGATTTCAGTTCTGCTTGCGAAAACCGTTTTTACAATGTCATGGCATCTCTGGTGAAATCAATGCTTGCTCTGGGCTCATGCACGAAAAGCCACATACAGTACTCTTGATTATCCGGGCAGAATGGCCACGGATAATCGAAAAATATCAGTTTTTCTGCGGATCTCTATGGCTAAATCCATTAATACAGGTATCAATTATGTTTCAATTAAGGTGGAGTTTATTAATGAACAAAACAAACGTTTGTAGGAAATAATGTATTGATCCTGTTTTATTAAATCGATCTATGCGCTCGCTCGGTAATAAGACTTCCCTGCTCCCGCGCAGAAGACTCAGCCCACTAAGTGGATAACAGAGCCACGCCAATCAAAGTCAATCAAACTCCGCCCCACTTGTAAATATATGCAACTCCTGTACTGTAGAGGCGATCACGTGGATTTCGGATTTACTTGAGCACATTTGTTCGGTTTAAGAACGTGACGTTGTAAAAAACATTTCCCAGAATAACTAAAACTTTTTTAGATTAGTTGGGCTTTAGCGAAAACCCCACGAGTTATTAATTTATGTCAATCTCAGGTGCGCAGTTAACCGCAAATCGGAGAAACCGCGCATCGATAATTATCGAAAGTCTACTGCACTTGCTTTTACACAGACTGACACACGGTGTCACTTTAATGTCTCTCCTACTACGCTCTGGCCGTTTGCCATGCAAGGCCATAGCGGACGAACACAAATACATAACAGATAGGTGCAAATCCTAGCTGTCACTTGACTCATCTCTGGAATGACAACCCTCGGCCTTTGCTAACAATGATAATTTGCAGTAAAATTTTGGGTAGGTGAGAGATAAGCTTTCGTGACTGCAGGAATTCATGTTCTTTTGGGTCTTTCGGTAAAGTCACGTCGATAGGTTCAAAGGAAATAACAAAAAATAATGATGACGAACGCTTGTGTTGCCATCAAAGCGTCGTAGCTTTTGGTTATTTTCTTTGAACCCATCTACGTGACTTTAACGAAAGCCCCAAAGAATAGGATGGGATCGCCAATTCCCGTGAGTGCAGGATTTGCGACTAGGGTCTTGTGTGGGTAGCTCCGCGTGCGAATTGAGCCGCCGCCCCCCACCACATCATGCCCTGGGACATGTGGCCACGATCCCTAATTGGAGTGATAATAATCACCAGGGTGTCTATAAGTGGGACGACTCTAGGGGCCGATGGGTTAGCTGACCGCATGCGAGCGTCGCGTGTCGCACGCTAGGTTTAAAACGGGCAAGACAATTTACCAAAGGAGGCAAGAGAGCAACGAATACGATGCAGAGCCGGAGATGGTTTCAGCTTTCGTGACCAGGCAACCAAATTTACAGAATGCCGGCTTGGGCAACACTCATCTCCTTATACAAGTGACGAGAAACACCGAAACCAAATCAAGAGTTCATCATTCAAGGCACGATTTTGTTGGATCACTGACATTACTGAAACATTTCGATGTAGAGGACCGAGGATTGCCAATGTTAAGCCTCGGTCTTACAGATTCATGGTGATGTCAGAAATCACTGAAACATTGCGTGGCGATGTCAATCTTCGTGCTCGTGCAGATCAGTCTTCAATCAACGTGTAGCATCTCGCATCAGCCGTAGACGTGAAAAGATTCAACCCTGCATCGATACTATTTGTTTTTACTTGTCGAGTTTGCAGTCCTCCTACACCTGACTAGCACGGTTTGCTGCGTACGACGTGAAAGCAGTTCATACATATTGTTGCGATTTGAGGGTTCTAATTCAAGAATCGAATCTTATTCAAGCACTGTGGTGACTGGTAGTGCCTGTCCTAGCTGCAGGGGAGACAAGAACACATTACAAACAACCTAGACCCCTGCCCCCCCTCCGCCCCCATTGGTTTTTACTCCATTTGATGAATTCACCAAAAGATACACAGTTAATGTTAATCACTATGGTTCCACCCGTAATTAGGTAATTAAAAGCGCACCCCCCCCCCCTTCTTCCAGTGACATTTTTACTCGAATGCTAATTCATGTTTCGTCAGCATCATCGTTTGCTGTAAATTGGTGGGATTCATCAAGTTCGACAATTTGTGACCATTCCCAACACTGGGAGCCGATTCGATTTCATCTTCTGGCACGGCGGTTAAAACAATGGGGGAACAAGTTTACAAAGTCTCCCGGCTCCTGCCCACCCAGCAGCATAAATGGCTACAGCACAGTCTGATCAGCGGGTGACGTGGTGGGAATGTAGACAAAACACCGCGTAGAGTTGGCTTGAGTAGAGGCCCTTCTGCCAGCACTAGCGTAAGCAAGCAACTGCAGGGCTGCACCTTTCCCCAGCACGTTTAAACGATTTAACTGATGACATGTACGTGAGACGCAGCTGCAATTGAACCCAATTGATGAATATTCATTCGCACCATCAAGGATAGCAGTTGCATAAATACAAACTGTGGAATTATCAACATCCACCAATTAAGATTTCAAAACAGCCTCTTCACAGCAAAATGTAGAACTTTGCGGTTCAAATCCAGCAGGCCGCCTTGGTTAATACTGCCGGCGTATTGACTGTAAAATATGCACTGTTTTCTCAAGTCGGTGTTGTATCTCTTGACATCATTTGCTAGGATTAAGCCACCGTGTGCTGGTGTTTAGGTCCAAATTGGCCAAAAATATAAATACAAACCCGCAATTTACACAATTGGAATCAAACACATGCAAATATCGACCCCACTACGACACGACCGCAAAATGAAACGGCAGCACCTTCCTTTGTGACGGCCTTCCACTAGAATGGCATGAATACCAAATGCGCTCCATTACTTTAATTTATATCACGCTATGGCGATTGTAGTTTGGAATGAAATAGCTTGAAGCACACACAGTGGCACACACACACACAATAAACGGTAATTATCAACTTCCAACTTCATTAACCATTGTTCCACAATGGGCAGCAATCTTTAAAAAATATTGATACGTGCACAATTTTGCATATAAAATGCCTTTTAAAAACGCGTTTTTAAATTAAATATTTAAGCTGATCCCGCTTAAAAAAAAAAACTAAATTATTTGTGCAAGCATCGCCGACTTTCAGAACATTACATTGGAACTCGCTCATATTAACACAACGACAATGGAACTCGCACTTTCTGTAACGAAACGCAGCGATTCATTGCAACATTCCACTCGGGCTGTCATTTCCTGCCGACCGGTTTTCCGGAGTGACAGCGAATGGTACGGTGTGTGCGGGGTGTGCCGGGCGTTTGGTTGCAGAGGGTTCACGGGTTTGAATGCAGCAGGCTTGCCTTGGCCATTACTTCGGGAGCATTTACAGTTAAATGCGACTGCGTGCCGTCTGCTTCACGGCGGCGGTGTTAAAAAGTCATGTGACGTCATTCGAATCGGGTATGGCATTGTGTGTCATGGTCCAAATTTGCCAGATTAGAAAAATGGGCCGCAAGTTACGCAATTGTGATTATACATATCAACATCACTTTCTATCGGCAGGCTATATCCGTCCGTGAAACACAGCACCTTTGGGTTAGCTCTGCGCTATAAGAATGGCGCGAATACCAAATGTAGAAAATTAATATATATTCCAGATTGCCTCCCTCGGACGGATCCAGATGCAATTAGACTCCGCTTCTATAATGAGCTGTTGTAAACATGTTGCGTGATGCCTGCCTATCCCCACCAAAAAAATAAATAATGATTAAATATGTAAACCTCGCCATTCCGTTGCTCGTTTCTGCGCAGTAGTTCGGTGCTCATGCAGTTTAAGACCATGGGGACACACGGAACTTCAGGGATTAACACCGACGCAAGCCCAAACTCCAGACCTTCAACGGGCTCACGTCATAGCAAGTTCAAACATTATTTAGAAAAATCAAGGATCCGCGCGGTCGCGTTCGCAGGGCGTGTAACCAAGGCCTACGATTCGTATGCTTTGTCGTGGCTCTGCTCTGGCTCGGCCTCGATCATGGCTTGGCCTGGGCTTGAGCCGCTCAGTTGCTTTCAAGGACGTGAACGGTTCAGCCATGGCTTGGCTTCGGCTCGGCTCGTGGAAATCCTCAGCTTGGCTGGGGTTCGTGCTCAGAGCGAGCTCGAGTTAAGCATGGCCTTGAGCTGGCTCGTTTGGAGCCAGAGTTGTGACTTAAGAATGTGCCTATGTCAAGTGGTCGGCATGATTACTTGTGTGCTTCAAGAAGCAATCCACAGACCCAGGCCGCGCGTCTCCGTCCAACACGAATCTGTTGCTTGTTACCATGAGTATGGGGGGGGGGGGGGGGGGGGGGGGGGGGTGAGAAGCCCTGTAAGTGACCGTCAGGCACGGTCTGCCGATGCCACGTCACAGTAGAATGCCTTAGACTCACAGGGGACTTTTTATTCTTATTCAAATCTTCAAACTCGTGTGGGAGAGTGTGGGACATACGGCCTGTGTGTGTGCAGTTACAAGATAGTAGCTGCTTCTGGGTCGCGTTTTCATTGAAGACACGTGCAGACACCTAATTCGCCCTGTTGCGTGAATGCTTAATACCATCGCTGCGGCCGAGGTTACATCCCGCTGCGCTTACATAATGGTAGCGTAAACGCTTCGTATCTCGCGAGCGGAGCAGGGTTAATTGGGACTGTCAGGCCGCTCGTGGAATGCAGCCGGTGCATGTGACCTTAACGGGAGAGAGAACGGCAAGTAGTTTAGAGAGAAATGCCCTCCGAGAGAGATGATCAAAGTGCTGTCGGCTCAATTGATAATGTGGTGCTCCAGCCACGAGTCGGAGTACGGGTGTCACTGTATCATCATTCATTACAAACGCAGCAGCTTATTTTACAACTGCAAAAAAAACACCAAGTATATTTTCCTAAAGAGAAAATGTCCATCCATTTTAAGTAAACTGTATTGCAACACACATGTAAAGTGTTTGTGTTTAGGTGTCAAGTGTCTGTCTTATGTATACGTGGGCACTGTGACTTCCAAGTGGAGCTTGGGAACTGAACTCGTGGTGCCAACACCACCGATCATTCGCAACGCCTTAACAGCCGCCGGTCAAGTGTGTTTTTCAAATATCATCATTAGGAACAGTTTTATTTACAACTTGGATTTTAACTTAATTAATTTTCGTGCAAAAGCATCACTTTCCATCACTACTTTCGTAGGGGCGGGTTGTTTCGCTGCATGTTGCCAGGGGTTCATGGTACGAATCCGGCAGGCCACCCTGGTTAATACTGCGGTGTGCATTATAAAATACGTGCCGTCTGCAGGCCAGGTACCGAGTCACCTTGTGCCACGCAAGGACAGCTGCCGATAGGGGTGCCCTTGCAAATGTTTGGGATGACATGCAAGTCGTGTACAGCGCTCAACCAAAAATACTCAACATTTGTTATCCACTATGATTAAGTTTGGCATGATTTCACCGATAGGAATGTAACATCTCATACTTTTGCCTGTAACGCACCTGTGCATTCTGCACCATTTCGGTATGGTGGCCGATCACAAACCCATACGTGTACCTGCACTTGCTCGAGCGACACAACGGTGGTACAACAGAATGCCCATCAAGGGCGGGGTAGATGGGCCCACTGTTAGCCCGACAAGGCGGCAAAGTCGCTGACGAATTGTCTACGCGATTGCGGAATGCACTTTTAAAATGGCCACACGCTAAAGACGACAACAAAGGGAGCAGACGCGACGCTAGCCGGTAGCAGGCCCGCCACACGAGGGATCCCATGCCACCAAGTGGTAAAGAAAACCGATTAAATCGCGCACTCACTCCTTTTGCCACCACACCCGGCGGCAGCAACAACAACAACAACAACCGCAGCGCATCTGCCCCTTGCGTCGTCACTCCCCGCCCGCTCGCGTGACCGGGACAGCCGATCGCGACGACGCACCCAGGTTTTAAAAAACAAAGGGGCGTCATTGGCGATGTCGCCGTACGGAAACCGAGTAAAACCGCGGTGACAGCCACGCAGTGCCGGCTATACGTCGACGGAGCCACGCCGGTCATCGTGGGGCCCGGGTGGCGGTGGTGGTGGCGTGCGTGGAGACCCACGGCCGTAGCCAGTGAACGTCGGGCAGATGGGGATATAACGCAGCCAGCGCGTGCGCCGAACCGCGGCCATGCCCACGGGGAAGTCGTAAACCTTCGCCACGGAGTGCACAGAGGACGGCAGCGTCGTGTCGGGGCCCGTGGCCTTCCACTTGAGCAGCCCCCGCTCCTCCACAGTGCCTGCACAGATCAACACCACGTCGTCACCATGAGTGCCACCAACAACAACAAAACAACAACCGCCGTTCACGACCAAGCGTGCGGTGATGCCAGGTGCACTTTGAGGCCACGTCAAGTGTCGAAAACCCGCTGGCAGGTCACGGAACGGACCCACGTTTCATGGGTTGACTGACAGATGACTGGCAGATGCACCAACTGTGCTACCCTCTGTGCCAATTTTCTGCATTTTAGCCGCCCGGTGCTCCGCTCATTGTTGTGAGCATCGCTCCTCTTCCCTCTATTGTTGCTGGACGGCGACCGCCTCCAACTTCCCAGTAGCATCTTTCATGAGCTTCCTTCACAGAGACCGATCTTGCCACCGCTGGTACCAGTCATCAGCAAGTCCAATCAGCTCCATGGACCGAGCGTGGTGGCATCCTACCTGGTATGGTGTTGTCAAGCAGGAAGGCCACGCAGCCTCCCACAAACATCTCGGTGGTGAGTAGAACTGATAGCACCTGGTCCATCTCTGCCACACCTGCCAAAGCCACAAAGACAAACATCGCCCATGTAGCCTGATAACCTTGTCGGGCCAAGTGGTGTAAACGCAAGCATGGGACAGTGCCGTGGCAAGCACCACATCTGGCCGATTTTAGAAGTGTTTGTTTACACACCATACCATGTTCTCAACACCAAGTCGACCTAGGGGAGTCCCAGGACCAAATCAGATAAACGCCTCCAATGTTGGCCATGGCTGGGAATCGAATTCTGGTCGCCGGGTTCGTAGCGCAGCGCACTGCAACATGCACAGAAGCGCCTGCCAAAGCCCTGACACACTAACTCAATCAGGTGCACAACCCCAAGGAGGTGATGCCAAGAGTATGACATGGGTGGGTTAAGACCAGCAGGACTGTGCACACACACAGTTCTCTTGGGGTATTTTTTATTACAGATAACACACTTGATAATGCGTGGATGGATTATCCAGGGTTCGGATTAACCGTGCTTGCCATTTTGTAATGAGAAAATATCTTCACACGGTGCGCTCGTTTAATTACCAGTTGCACCTCGCCGATGGTCAGCGACTCTACGGAGCTGTGGCCAAACTGGTGTGGTCAGGCCATGATCCAGCAGTGGATTGACAAAGGGCCTGTACAGGACTTCTTTTTTTATAATAAGTCATTAATTCCCACACCTCCGATTTAGCACGGTTGCCTATGTATGACGCCAAAGAAGCTCTACACACACAGATTAATTACAGTTGACCACTGAAGGAAGCGGATAGTTTTTTACAAGGAGTCATGTGTTCATGTTCTGTGTAAATGATAAAATACGGCAATGACTCACTGCCACGCATTGACACTAATTGCACATTGCCACAGCTCTAAGTCACCACAAACATTCCCAGACTTGCCTTTAAATGGCAAACAACCCCTCCACCACATTACCCTCAATTCCCCTGTATGCTTTGCCGACCTCTGCGCAACGTTGAACTTAATAACGTTTCCAAGTAACATTTTAAGGGTGTAAACACATAAGAAGTAAACTCGTTAAGGGCCTATGCTCGCCATGCGAGTCTAAGGGGTCGTTCCGCCACACTGCATCACGTCGTTCGGTGCGGGGTTGGTGAAGATGGACGGCGTGGACTTGGGAGCGTACAAGCTCGGGGAAGAAATAAGACATTTGCAATGCGTCACGTTGACCACAGTCCCTGCAGCTGCCTAAGACAACCTGGCTTGCAGCAAGGTGGCCACCCATCCAAGCGCTGCTTGGCTTCTGAGAGGGGGGGGGGGGGCGCATTAAGCCATCACGAGGGCGCTGGACAAACGACGAGAATATTCAACGTTAGTCCACTGCAACGAGAAAAAGTACGCAGTGTGTGCCAACAATGCCAAACGCAGTGTGTGCCAACAATGCCAAAAGCTGTGGTTGCCGAGCATTGTCTTGGTCTTGTAAAGACGCGGGATGCCCCGCGCAGGAGGCCACGGGTGGACGCGCCTGGACTCCGGGGGTGAACATCGGTTGCAGAAGTTCCCCGAGCCAGATGTGTGGATCGCGGCGCGGGTGTACGCTCTCCGCACGACGTGGTTTCGACGCACAGATGCTCGATCGGTTCGAGGGCCGGTGCTATCTTGGCGACTCCTCACGCGCGTGTCGGAGCGAACATTGCGATGCCACGGTGAGTTATGAAGCGTGAAAATATCGGTCACGCACGTTCGGGGACCTGTAGGCCGTCGGATTAAAATCATCTGCAGGTGGCTACTTAGTCATGCCATGTTTCAGTCGGTTATAGTCTGGCGGTTTGCGTCCCTCCGTAGCTATTTCATGGTGTCGACTTTGTCGTTCGCAGAACGGAGGCTGAATGTTGCAAACGCAAGCTAGCGTGGCACCGTGGTAGAGTGCCACCGTAAGCATGCTCAGCCTAGGTACTATCATGGTGGTTTAGCCGGAGCAGAGGGCCGCACACGCCGGCTCTGCTGGAGGCATGGGACCCACTTGGCGTGGTCCTTGTGGCCAACTGCACACTTTGCGCCGACACGCACGGTGCTATACAAAGGTAAAGAGTTAAAGGTGAAGCCCCGCACTTTGCTTGTTCACGCCACTGCTGGCAGAGGAGCCTTTGGCGTACCCACATACACGTTTATATATCTGCTGTGTGGATAGAGGGTGAGAGGGGGTGGGGAGATTTTATAAACTTTCCCTATTTAAACTTGATTTGAAGCTTTCGTTAAAGTCACGTAGAAAGAAAATATGTTGCATTGCATTACATTTCCAAAAAAGTTTGTTTTCTCAAACGTCCTATTTCTCTCTCTAAAATTTACCAGGCTCTCATAGGTCCATTCGCTCTGTCTCTCCCCCGGCCGCTTCGGGGTGGATTTCCACACATCTCTCTGTGTGTCAAATTTCACACTTAACTTCTAATTTTAGCAATCTTCGGAGATCGTAATCGACCAGGCTATGCGCTAACTGTGTGTTAGCCAACTCTCTGTGTTGCATTACATTACATTTACAAAATATTTGCTACATTTTGTTTTCTCAAACTATTTCTCTCTCTAAAATGTACCAGGCGACCATAGGGCCATTCGATCTTCTTTTCCTCGGTCGCTTCGGGGTGGATCCATTGACATGCTAATTTCTCTGCTCCAGCAGTTGCCCCAGCAGACCCACCTCTCTCTCTGCCCACCCCCCCCCTCTCTATTTAAGGCCTCGACACAGAGGCATTGGGTCTCTGTGTGTCTATGTTGTGTGTCTCTCTCTCTCTGTGTCTGTGTTGTTTCTTTCTGCTTGTGTGTCTCTGTGTCTGTGTTTTGTCTCTCTCTCAAATTTAGTTCTACCTGATGACGGTTGCATGTGTTGCAATCGAAACGTCGTATTCTACTATTTAATTTAGTTTCTTTCTACGTGACTTTACCGAAAGAACCAAAGAGTTTTTTCCCTATTTAACTGCCACACCAGGAGATGGACCTTTGGGTTGCAGGTCCAGTGCGTCGACCGTTACACCACAGAAGCTCCCTAGGTTTCTTAAATACCACTCATTCCATAAAACCCCTCTGTGACTGGCAGCCGCTGTGATTAAGGTTTTAACGACTCGACACCGACCGTGGTGGCGCTGCTGCACTGCTCACCGGTTTGAACCATGTTCTTGTGGGCCTTTATGAAGCTAGGCAGCGCCATGCCGAAGAAGGTGGAGAAGCCCAGCACAAAGAGGTTGCGCGACGAGTTGAGGTCCACGTACTGCAGGTTGGAGAGGCCCACAGCCGTGATCATCCCTGGCAACGGACAACGCGCGATCTCGCTTCTTACGCGCTCGTGGTTTCAACGGACAGACATACAACCCAACACGCACAGCGCTTGTGTTGGAGATGCGTGCCCACGGCAGCCAAGGCAGCCTTCTGTTCCTTTAGCACCAGTTCGACATGCCGTGCTTAGTCTAACGATTACCTCTGGTTTTATTGGAAATCTGCCTGTCTGCACCTTTACAAAGGTAGACACCTATCGATTATAGATCCTTAGAGTTGATAACTGCACCATGATTGTACAAATATACATTCATCAATGAACCGCCAAATGTCCAGCACAAGCATGTTGTGTTAGTGGCTGTTAACAGTTGCCTTAGTAGCTCTGCTATTATTTTATTGTTTCCCTTCAAGGTGACGTTACCGAAAGAACCAAGAATATGAATTACTGCAGTCACGAAAGCTTTAAATCAAAATTTAGCTCTGCTGTGTTTGGGGCCATGCTAGACACATGTGTTTGAGGCTGTTGTAACGTCCATGTTAGTCCCTGCGTTAGCCGCCGTCTTAGCCCCCATATTAAGCATCCGTGCTAGCCCCTGGGTTAGCGGCCATGCGTAACTGGCCGTGTAGCCCGTGTGTTAAGTGTCCACGTTAGGCCCACTGTCAGTGGCCGTGCATTAAGCGTCCGTGTCGGGCCTCGCGCTAGCTGGGCGTGCGTTCACGGCGTGCGTCGCTACCGAACAAAGTGCAGAAGAGGGCCCCGAGGATGGGGTCCGGCAGCGAAGCGAAGAGGGCACTGAACTTGCCGACAAGGCCCAGCACCAGCATGATGGCGCCGCCGTACTGCACCACACGGCGGCTCCCAACCTGCGCCGCAGCAGCAGCGGTGTCAACAACGCAGCGCGGGCTCCAGTCCACAGCCATCAACTCGCCCGGCCCTCGCTGCTCACCGGTTCGTACACGCGGCAGTGGGACTCACGGACTTCCCCTGCACGCCCCCCCCCCCCACCCCCCTCCATCCTTCCCCGAAAGGCGCACTCCCGTGGCCAGGTGCCGGCAACTGGTAAATGGGACAGCGAATAACGAGCACTGGAGTGCGTCATGGTGAGTGTAGTGGGAGCGTGTCGTGGTGAGTGTTGCGGTGAGCATGTCATGGCGACTGCTACGCCGAGTGTGACTGTGATTGCAGTGGGAGTGTTGTGGCGAGCATGCCTTGGTGATGCCCAGAACGCCGATGTTCGGGCTGGACGAGGTGGAGCCGTTCCCCGTGCCGAACAGTCCGGTGATGATGCAGGCCAGACCCTCCATGAAGATTCCCCTGATGGAGGAAACACGGAACGTCAACCCCCGCCACGCTCAACCGCCGCCAGCATCAACCCTCGACCTTCTCAACCCCCTCCCACCCCCATGCTCAACTCCTATGGGGCCCGGTTCCTTTTTATCAGATCCTAGGCAGACCAATTTTTTTCAACAACAGACGCTGCACCGAGTGGGCCCGTGCAGGAGGATACGCGAGGATCGATTGCCGAGACAGATATTGTTGGAGTCGTCTCCACGAGTCGGGCGACCGAGCGGGCAACGGAGGGAGGCTGCGAGGGCAAATCTCTGCGTGTGTCTACGATGCAGCCGCTGCGAGCTCTGGCAGGGGGTTCAACGGCAATGAGTTGTTGTGGCAGCAGTGACGGCTTTGGCCACGATCACCTCTCGATCTGGCCTTGTGGCTAAGGATTCAGCCAAGATGTAAATCTCACCCTCGCTGTATAAAATTAAACAGAAGGTGCGCAAGTTCAACATTCATGACAACCACTGTTGACTTCCCAACAACGTGGCATTCATTTTATTGATTCTGCAGGGATGACACACAACTGAGTCAACTCCCAACCGGGAGTTGGGGGTTGACTTTGTGAACTTCCGATTGCAAACAGTTTGCTCATCTGCTGAGCCGTCTGACCTGAAATAATTCTGCTTGAGCTCTCCCCGAGTGTCTGTAAAACCAGTTGCTGTTTTTATTCACCTGCATGTTAAAAAGTTCACGATACTGTAACATGATTTAATTATCCATAAAAGCTTCACTTTGTTTCAAGACTTTGCATGAGAGTTCTGCTACATCGGGGGACGCCTATCCTAGTCCTAGCGCTCGGCACCTAAGCGCAGAATTAAAACACCGGAGCAATGCATCATGGTCACGCACGCTCAGGGCTTAATGGTAACCGGGTCTCTGTATGGGGTAGAACTGGAAAATATTTCCGCAACCAGCACACCACAATCCAGTATACTGCTCGCTATGGGCTGTGGGGGTTACTGGTCAATTGCCACCTACTCCAGTCTACCGGCGACCCTAAAATAACTGAAGACGTGGGCACACTGTACCACACTGTAAACATCAGAGGCAAACTCAGCAGAGTAGCAGCTCCTAATGCCGGCCCCGTGTGGACCAGACAATGCCCTGCACTCTAATCCCAGCTTAACCCAGAGACGCAGAATCCCCAAGCAGATTGACGGCGAGTCCAGCATTTGGGGGAGGGGGCAGGAGGGCAGCGAGTGAGGCGGAACGCGGTGGAGGATGGTCCAGCGTGCCGCTCACCGGTTGATGGCGTGGATGGGCGGTGGCGGTGCCCCGGCGAGGCGGGCGCAGGCGTAGTAGTCCCCGATCGACTCGACGATGCTGGCGAGCATGGCACTCATCATGCCGATCACGCCGGCCGCCGTCACCGTGGGCATCCCCCACTGGCCTGCACGCACAGAGAGAACCCCTTCCGTGTAGCGTTAACAGGCCGTAGGAGCGAGTGCTGTTAGTGAGCAGCACCTAATTAAGGCCTGAGACTATCAAGTCGCACGAAGGGGTGGGTGGTAAACACCACTCTCCCCAGTGCTGATGTTTACACACTGGACCAAGTACTCATTTAAGGCTGAGTCGACCTAGGGGAGACACAGGACAGGTTCAGATATTAATTACTGATGTTGGTTGTGGACGGGAACCGAACTCGGGTCGCTGGGTTTATAACACAGTGCGCGGTCACGCCACACACATCACCCATGAACAATCACCAGTTGGACCAAGTTCTCCACAAAATGTCGTGATTCTATAGCATAGTGCTTGCGGAATCTATCGTGTGAGGGGGTACGCACAGGGATAGGGTATGCGGAACCAGGGTGCGATGGAGATGACCTCCCCGCGTGCGTCCGTGCGTGCGTGGTATCCGTATGTCGCCAGCTCGCTGGGGAACACGTTGGTCTCCGTGAGCACATAGCACAGGAGCCATGCGATCACGATCGCGATGATGATCTGCGGGGGAGGGAGGCACGGACACACGGCCCACAGGAGCGCATTCGCCACTTGCCGCAGAAGTTCACGGTTTGAATCCGGAAGGCCACCCGGGTTAATACTGCAATGCATGTTAACCATGAATTACTACGCGCCATCTGCTTCACAGCGAACGTTAAAGATCCGATGACGTAATTCACAAGCGTAGGACACGAGTAGGCCAGAACGGCGCGAATACCAAATGTGCCCTATTGTAATTATTATTCAGGTAGTCGTGTAAACCCGCTACCGATCTACAGATCGCACTCGATCACTCGTGGGTGGGCTATTTGGGTTGCGGAATAACCGTGCTTGCGGATAAATCCATGACATATCTTGACGCGTTCACTGCTTTGTCTGCTCCCGACTCGTCGAGGGTCAGCGTCTGGTGTCCCCGTGGGTAAACGCGTCGGCAAGTCACCGATCACCGTAAGAAGCATAAACACAGGCGACTCATTTTAAGTCTTCTCCCCCATGCGACTAAGCTAGACGATACACACATGTTTTGATCCTAATTTACTCGTGATCTGCATTAGTTGCGTGTTCTTTTATTCGGGCCACCCCTCACCCCAGATAATCAAGAGTCGACTATAGATTTACACCACCACAAGCACTACCATGTACCCACATGCGAATAAAAAAATAACTGATTTGTAATTCCATGCATGTACCGTGAATAAATAAAAAATCAATGTAACCAGATAATCATTACACCCCTGACTCACTCTTTTGTACACTCCCCACTTGGGCCTCACAGGAGCCGCGGGCGGCACTAACCGGGAACATCTTGAAGACCTGCACCCTGTAGACGGTCCAACCCTTGCCACGCTTGTAGCCCAGCAGCGGCAAGTGCACGTTACGGAAGTACTGGGAGAAGAGGATCACCAGCACGATGGTCCTGTCAGACGCACGCATGCAGCACCCAAGTCACGCGCCGCACACAGGAAAAACGCACCGCAAGTTGAGACAACACGGATTTGTATTTGATGGAGTGTTCTTCACACATGGGTGTTGTCTAAGCAGCGCTTTAGACACGATAAGTGACTTAGGTCACCTCTCGTGCCACATTTGAAAGGGCACCCCCAGTGACAGCTCTCCCCATGTGGCACCAGGTGACTCAGCACGTGACTTGTGAATGGGCATTAGTCTGCCAGTTGGGGACAACGATAGATGTGAGCAACCCCAATTGAGTTATTTGCGGGTAATTTTTTCGAATTGGTACAAATTTGGACCAAGACGCCAACACACAATACCCTACTCGTTTCGAATTGCGTCCGGGGTTCTTTAACGTCGGCTGTCCAGCAGATGGCGTGCAGAGTTTACAAGTTAACACACACCGCAGTATTAACCAGGAAGGCCTGCCGGAATCGAACCTCAACGTCTGCAAAACCGCCGGGCCAATATGACGTTCCACATCGAAAGTAAACGTCATTTGGACAGTGGCCCTCCAAGGGGGCAAGGCACGGGAGGCAGGCACAGGCGACACGCACCGCGGGGCGGTCATCACCGGCGGCGACTCACAGCATGGCGATGCCCCAGTGCTTGCCGGCACGCTCGCCGGCTGCCGGGAATACGGAGAGGCCGATGAGCGACACGGTGGGAGCCACAGTCAGCGGGCCGATGTAGGCGAGCAGCACGCCCGGGACCCCCAGCAGCCCGATCACCACCTCCACCAGGCACGACACGATGATGGCGCCCTGGATCTTCCGAACGCAACCGAGACACCACCACAAAATCGTCATCACCATCACCGGTACTGCCACCGAGACACAGACCCCATCGGCTGCCCCTTATGACTGCAAACAGAAAGGCCAGAGGAAGAGTCACAGCACATACGGAGGCCAGAGAGGTAGTGCCCTCTCAACGTGCTTTGGAAGGGCCACTGCCCAAAGCATCACCTCTTCTATACTTTTTACTGATGAGCTCTAATTATTTTTTGCATTTTTATTGGCTAACAGTAATGTGCGTGTTCAAGTGCAGCTGCCTGCCAAGGGCCTTGGAGAGTCCTCTGTTGGGCCCTCACTCAGGGACCGCTTTTCCCAGCCTGCTGAAAAAAAACGATCACCTACTGTGTTCTGGGCCAACAAACACGAGTTTAAAACTTTATTAAATGCAGTACAGACCCTCCCAGCCTGCCCTGCGTTCATAATGAAAGAACAAGGAGTGATCGACTGCAATTGATCTGACAAGTTGAGAAGGACTGAGCCTGGTGCCTTACAGGGTGATTGTCAAGAGCTTGGCAGGTGTGAGGCTGGCCAGGAGATGGCAGGAAAGCACTGGGCTCAGTCCACACAATAATTAAATTTACAGTATTTATGTATTAAATCCATCTGTGCGGAGCGTTGAGCGTCACCCCCTTATATTGAGATTATTTAGATTATGTTGCTGCTATAAATGTCCAAATGATGAGCCACTTTGTTGAGCTATCATTTGTGTGGCCAGGTCGCTTTGGAAAAATAAGTTAATACATCAGGTCGGCTTTGCCTGGTCGGATGGGGATGTATGAAAAAGAATAATCGGTTTTACCCTTTCTGGCAATAAAACAGGTGCTAAGATGTTGAAACACCAAATAGAGACCTTTTTCAAGGAGTCATGTCCGCATTCATCACACGTACTGGTGGTGAACAAGCAAACAAAACATGCTCTGATAATATATGGATTGTCCTTGAAACTGATTGGTCTCCACCAGAGACCACATTCTTTAGGGCCTAGTCTCACCAGTGTAAACCAGAGATCGCCAAAGGGCGAATACTATACAGAAAAGGCACGTATCAGTGCATTTATAGCTGGCCCAGTAATGATGCATTACTGGGCCAGCTACAATGGCCCAGTAATGTTGCATAACAGAAGCAAGCAAGCAAGCAGTCGCGTTTGACCATCGCCTGTTGTGCAATACACGTACAGTCTAACAAAGGTGTGCGTGGGGAAAGTCGTACATTTTATTTTGGCTCAGCGCTTAAAACATTCCCAAAATAATTCTCCCATTTGTATTGAACGTTGATGCCACGGTAACTGTCGTGCCTCATAGCAAGAAGCACCTGGCTTCCATTCATATATATGGCGCATTTCTCTGCAGAGTTCACAGTTTCTCCTACAGGTTCCGTATGGGTTTCCTCAGGGTTCTCAAGTCTCCTCCAATAGGAACTCCCCCCCCCCCCATAGAATGTAACCTGTATTGGCCAAACATCCCAATGCTGAAAGATTACTCAAATGGGATTTACACAGGAGCAGCTGCACCCCCCCCCTTCTACAAAACATGGCAGTACTCTTCTGAATAACTGCCTTTCTGGGTAAACAACACAAATACAAATAATGATGAAAATTAATTAAAATATTGTGAAAAGGGGCCAATAGGATGCAGGTTTGGGAGCAAGACGAGCTGCCCGAGGCTCTTCACAGTGGGGCCCCATCTCACCATTCTGCCAAACTTTTAAAAGATCAACCACCTTGATTTGAAGCTTTCGTGACTGCAGGAATCCATACTTTTTGGTTCTTTCGGTAAAGTCACGTAGGTATCGCTTGTGTTGCGCCCGAAACGTGTTTTTATTTTATACCTACGTGACTTTACCAAAAGAACCAAAGAGTATCAACCACCTTCTGCAGGTGTGTTATTCCAGGAAGGTTTACTCCCTTAGTAAAAGCCTGTGTCTGGAGAGTGAATGTCATTACTGACGTAGGTCTGGTTCGGAACGTAAACTTCTAATGCAGGTGGGCTCAGACTGGTGAACTAAAATTTAATGCGGTCAAAATCCGGACTTAAACCTAGGCTTCTCAGCATTGCTGGCTCAGTGCTCCGACCTTTGAGCCACTCGGCCACTTCCACATATTATTGCTTAACTGCACTGAAAATATCTTCACAGTGTATTTTAATGCCTGTTGTTTACTGTTTCACTGTCCTCAAGTAAACTTGTCGTCTGCCAAAAACTTCTGTTCTCAATGGGCCCTTACCTGGTTGTAAATATTTACAACCGCTAAATATTATTTTATGCTTACAATTTTGTCAAACCTGTAGAATTCAAGGTAGAATTAAAATGGTTTGATTTAATTTAATGGACATGGGCTTACTCATTGAATACCACCCACGGTGACACTCAACACCAACAGGGCACGACCGCCTCGGGCAGTGGCAGTCCTGTCCCGGCCTGCTCGCACTGTCCTGGCCGCGTGCCCCGGTGAGGAGGCCAGGACGGGACCGGCCGGTGTGGTCGTACCTCGCGCATGCGCGGATGCCAAATCTCGGACGTGTCCAGCGGCTGCGTGGTGCTGTTCGCAAACATGGCGTCTGGGCGGAGAGACAGACGAGCGGAAGGGTGGCGCGTTAACGCTGCTCGCGCGCAGGTGGGGAACGTGAACCAGGAGCCACTTGTTACACTCCACACAGATGTGTTATGAAAAAACGTCGTCTTTCTAACGTCGTTGGAAATGAGAAGGCCATTCTGTGCCGGCGCCAAGGTCCAAAAAATGTCCATGTTTGAAACATTACACTGCAAATTACTCAACCAGCGGACTACGTGCCAGCTTGCAGACTGTGTGCAGAGTCGCCTTGTGCCGCAAAAGGACAGCTGCCATTGGGGGTGCCGTTTAAATGTGTTGAGATGCGATGCAAGCCACTTATCATGTGTTGAACGCTCCGACATGCCACGGCGTAGATGGTGCTCTATCAAAAATAAATCGCTCGTTGATAATGATTATTTATACCAGTGTGAATCCACTGCCAATAGATGTCAAATGACGAGATGAAGGATCACCTGGTGGCCAGTATATAGCAGTACAGCAAGTGGGTTCATGAACCCATCTATGTGGAAGCTTGGGTGTTATCTCCCTCCTATATCGGGTGGATTAGCTCCGGGTTCTCTCGTTTCTTCTCACAAATAGCCAAACTCCCGTTCATGGAATTGGCCTAGCATCCTAATGTAGCAGTCCCCTCCTTGAGACAAGAGTCTTGAGACTCGTGGATATCAATAAACGACTGTCTTGACGTAGGTGAGGAGCGGTGTGACCGGTGCTCCGGTGTCCTGTGTGCAAGGCAAGGAGCTGTGTGCGTGTGTGTGTGGGGCACCTGTGTCCGGACACTTCCACTTGTCCAGCGAGAGAATCGCCTGCGCCGGCGCCAAGAAGGCGAAGGCGCTCGCCTGGAACAGCGGCAGCCTGCGCAGTGAGCGGCAAGACACGCGAGTGAGCGACGCAGCCCTCCTCGCCAACCCAGCTCTCCCCCCTTGCCACAGCCCGCGTTCTCCCTTGCCACGTCGGCACGGTTGGGACCTTAACCTCACCGCGGAACGAATCGGGCGTTTAAAACACCCTAGCGGAGAGCTACGCTGGTCGATAATGCTGCAAGTGGCTTGTGATGTGCAGCACTGTCGAGACAGCGAGGGTTGTTGGTGCACAGACTCTCGGATTGCTGGGGTGTTATGGCAGTACGGCAAGTGGGTTAATTTCCATTAATATGACGATTTAATGTTACCCCTTCACCCCTTCCCCTCACATGCGTGGGTTTTCCTCTGGGTACTCCGGTTTCCTTCCACAAGTATAAACACTCAGAAACGGAGTTGCCCAAACATCTCGATATAGGACCACTGAGCTTGGGCAATTGTTGGTAGCACCTGTTCTGGCGCCCTTCACACTTGTCTGTGCTTTCCCACGCCTCTAAAAGTCTAATAAAAACCGCGTGCATTTTTATAATTATAAACAAACCCCATGTTATCCGATAATATAATTCCGCTCGCCTTACTGAGCACGCTCCAATGTGAAATACAGTGGTGTTGCTAAAATATAAAATATTGCCCTCTTGCACCTGCTTAGTGGGAAGACGTGGGGCTCCCGACCACGAGGCCGCGTGCCTTTGCTTTGTGCCAGTTTAACGGAAGCTCATTCCTGAGCTTCCATTTATGCCAGTTTCCTCTTTATCTCTCCAATTTTCAAGGCTCCCCAGAAAAACCTCGTTATGTTAGGGACACGTTATATCTGCTCACGGTATTGCGAGGACACCCTACAATACAACGCACTGGAGGAAGAGCATCTACCAGCCACCACACCGCTATTACTCGTGGAATTACTCCAATTTGGCCGCCTAGCAGCGTGGCCTAGTTATCCCTGACACCCAACGCTCGCTGAGCCAAGAGCTGGAAAAGTAATACGCTTTGCAGCACAACGGTACATTTAATAGCAAGGGATTAGGTCAGGGCTTTCACAGGGATTATCCGCTGGGGTACCTTACATCTAGAGCCCACTTCTTGGGCACCCAGGAAAGAAGACAACGGGCCGCGCTACGCAACTCTCGACCGGGGGACGCACGAGCAGCATCGTGTATGTTCGGTCGCCGACATTGAGCCACTCAAAATTGCGAGTCGCCGTGGCTCCTGAGCGTCGCTATCGATTACCCGGGCCACGGCCAACGTCGGTGGCGAGTGACATCTGAACCGGTCCTGCGCCTTTCCCCCCACCCCCTCATAACAACCCCCCATGGCTGACACGGTGTGAGGAGGCCTTCATCCAGAAGTGGATTGTCAAGAAGTCTACAGTTAGTTTGGATTTCCTATTGCACCGCTATCCATGCTCTCAACCCCCTGCCCTTGTTCATCAAGTCCAAGCTCAGGACAGTTTCTTCTGTTCGCTGCCTCTCTATAAAATGAAAATGCTTTTCTTTCCGTGCAGCATCCTGAGGTGCAGCCCCATTTAGAAGCTATATGAATGCAAATGTACTGTCATGTACTTTAAACATAGTTTCTGAGCACATATGAGGACGGTTAAGAAGGGCTTGAGATAACTAGACAATGGGAGGGAATTCCAAAGTTTTGCAGTCTGAGGAAAGAAAGAAAGAGAGAGAGAGAGAAGTGTTGTGACCTGCAGTGTGGTGAATTGAGTGGTTGAGTGAGTGGGTGGGCGAGCGAGTGGGTGGTCGAGTCAGTGTGTTGCTGTAACACATGCAGTGTGGTGGCTGAACACAGCATAGACGAGATGAAACAATCCAGTAGAGCGAGTCCGACGTTGCACTGTATCACAGAGGGGTTGCAACGAACCACAAAGGAGGGCCTGGCGGGTGGGCGGGCAGGGGGGGGCAAGTGGGAGGAGGGCGGCGACAGTAAAGAAGGACCCGGGTTTGGACGTCTCTCACCGGCATCCGAAGACGGTCTGCAGCGTGGTGGTGATGCCCACGCAGAAGAAGATGGTGCCGATGAGCTGGCTAATGGCGTACTGGTCGAAGCCCACGCACAGCGCGTCGGCCAGCAAGAACGGCACCGCGATGGTGCCGCTGAAGCAGGTCAGGTAGTGCTGGTGGCGAGATGGCGGTGGAGGGGGCGAGGAGGAGACGACGCCATCAACCGGGGTGCGCGCCGGTGGCTCGAGGGCAGCGCCGCGACGTGGGGCGTACGTTTTTCGATAGGTTAATCGAATCGTGAGGTGTGCTTTGGGGCGGTGACGTGGCCCGGCAGGAGCACGTTCGCCACTCGCTGCAGAGGATTGCCATTCGAATCCAGTAAGCAGTCCCCTGGTTATTAACGCGAATACATTAAGCATAGCAATATGCGCCTCTGTTTCGCAGTGGATGTCAAAGATCTCCCAATGTCATTCGAAACAAGCAATGGTCGCCGCTCTCCAGACTCGGGGATGGTAAGGGAGGGTGGGGGGGGGGGCCTCTCGCTTGGGAGCTTTGTCAAGAGGGGACCCCTCGGGATTGGCGCCGGAAGGGTGGATGCCACCGCCACCACGCGACGTTACAGCGTGTGCTCCTAAACTTGAATTAACCGCGACTTAAAAATCCTGAAAGTGCTGTTGTCTGGCTTTCTGAGCCTCGGGCATAAACAATGAACCCTCACGAGCCGGGGAAGTGCCTTAGTGCGCTCTCTGCCGTCTCGGCAAACGCTCGCGACGCCTGAAGGTCGCGGGTGGCTGCACGGGCGCAGGGAAGAGGCGGTACCTGGAAGCCGAGGAGGATGCACAGGTACCACGGCGGCACGTCCTCAATCGTGTAAATCATGTCGTAGGGACGGCGCTGCGGGGTGGCCGACTCTGGTGCGTGCGGCTCCAGTCCCAACAGCGAGCGCTGCAGGTCACACCGCGCCATCACCATCACCACGACAACCGCAACACCCACAGTTACCATCACGGTTTAACTCGAATCGCTGGGTTTGCAGCACAGTGTGCCAATCACGGTGCCACCACTTCCCACAAACACACACACACACGTGCGCACATTCATTCTCAATCACAATCATCATCCTCATCAACCATGAACACTCCACTGTTAGACACACACAGCCTCACCCTGGCTTCTCCATTTTGTTTATTGAGCGTTCCCACCAACACGGACACTTCCTCCTCCTCTGTGCCTGGCACAGACCCATTCGTGAGCACCTGTGACACAGCAAGAGACCACACACACAAGTTAGGCGTCTATGCCCCGTCCGCATAGAAGGTAGTTTATCCCTACACAGAGGAGGTCTTCAAAATCACGTGGTCAGAGACACCGCTGGTTTTTGGGGAACCCCTAAACATTGGATAAAAAAAGTTCAGCAATGCCACCCCTCTTGCATGCTCAGGTTGTCTCAGACAGCCGAGGTTTCAAGGACGACTCTCTGACCACCGTCTCATCCGCAGCCCTTCTGACGGCGTCTCAGATATGGCGCTCAACAAAAAACTTGTCCAGGATTGTGCCGACATCTCCCAGCTGTTTCTCAAGTTGTGGCGAGTATCTCCGGGAATTGGGGGGGGGGGCTCTTTAAATAACCTTGCTCAAAATCACGTTTCTTACACCTTTGATAGTACTCATCCATAAGAGGTTTTTGGGTTAAATTGCGTAAATATTAATTTGTCGTAAAAAACGCCAACACCCGACACAGCCAATTAGTAAGGTTTGTCACGTAAACAAAACATGCCAATTGGCGACTGGTTTAGCACACCGGTGTGTTGGAGAGTAAACCCACAACATTTACAATTTGAGTACGACGTTTCGCCGCGAATTACAACCAGCCTCATCAGGGGACAGCCTGAGCTGTGATGAAATCCTCCTGTTTCGGTTTTAAATGGAGGGATACATTTGATGTATTCACTTGTGAGACAATCAGGTGCGAAGACCAGAGGGGAGAGGGGGTTAACGTATGCATATACATTACAATGGATATCCATGACCGGTTGGGTTATTTTCATAGGGTGGTGGCGTGTTTAACGACACATTTATATTCACGCAATCTAACTCAAAAAACTATATTAGGGATATTGGTCATGAAAGCCTACGTGTTAAACTTTTATAGTGCTGTTTGTGGCTGACCGCTTGATGTTTTGAGCCCTTTTGCCTGTATAGAGACCGAGTTAGGTTCCAGGTCTGTTCATAAGTCGATTTGTTTGCAAGTCCAACTTTACTCCTGTCGATTCCAAACATGTTGTGCGGCGTGTACACTAAACTCGGGGAACGGCTTTAAAAGTTGTATGATCTCCTGCAGATGTAGATGCCACTGGTTCTTCGCGTTCTGCAGATGTAGATGCCACTGGTTCTTCACGTTCTGCAGATGTAGATGCAACTGGTTCTTCACGTTCTGTAGATGTAGATGCCACTGGTTCTTCACGTTCTACAGATGTAGATGCCACTGGTTCTTCACGTTCTGCAGATGTAGATGCCACTGGTTCTTCACGTTCTGCAGATGTAGATGCAACTGGTTCTTCACGTTCTGTAGATGTAGATGCCACTGGTTCTTCACGTTCTACAGATGTAGATGCCACTGGTTCTTCACGTTCTGCAGATGTAGATGCCACTGGTTCTTCACGTTCTGCAGATGTAGATGCCACTGGTTCTTCACGTTCTGCAGATGTAGATGCCACCACCGCCATCTATTGCGTGGCGGTTGAACTTACGACTCTCGGTCCAAAACAGGCAACTGGACATACGGGCAGGTTTGTTCGTATCTCTGAAAATTCGTAAGTTGAATGTTTGTAAGTAAAAGGAGTCCCTGTACTCAGCAACTATGTTTAAACTTAATAAAGAACTGACCATACAAGAACGTCACACAAGCAGCAGCAGCACCGACGCGCCGTTAAATTTTGCCGTGCAAAATAAGGCGCGACAAAAACTTGGGCAAAATCTTACAACAGGATTCATTTGATTGCTACAAATTTATGCATGGTCACCTAGTGAACATATTGTTTGTGCCAAACATTATTTCCCTTCAGAACATTGCCAAGCTGTTCTTTGAAATTAATATGAATCTGACATTACTCCAAACATCAAACGTATGCAAAATGTATGGCCATCATTACATTTCACATGCTCTCATAGCAATAAAAAAAAGCATCCCAGATGATTGTTCGTTCTCCTGTTGTGCCCTCGCCCAGTCTCACGCTGCCAGGATGTAATCCCGTACATAGCTCCATGTGACAAACACACCGCGTGCCTTGCAGAGCACAAACAGCTCGCAACATGTCGCGTGTTCGTTATTCGTGGCCAATTACTCGTTTTTCTTTTTAAACCACAACTATTTACGCCTTGTGCGCACAAACACACGCGGATAAGTCTCTGCACGTGTCAATGTCACCCGCACTCCGCCCCATTTCATCAGATCTCAGATGCTCGGACGGCTGACCATCTTGCGGAAAACTGGTGTTGGAGGTCGTGGTCGACGGACGGCAGCAGAGAATAATGCATTGTTGTACTGTAATTCTATGTCCCCAAGTCTATGATAACCATCTTTACCAACCCGCACTGACCAATGTCGTGAAGTATGGTCAAATAACCCCACATATGAACACGTGTGTAACAAAGTGTCATAATTAGGGCTACTACCATTCCGTCAGGGTAATTCAGTAAATATACAGAAAGTCACGGAATCAGAAGTAGCACCCGACTAAAACATTATATTATATTTGTATATATACACAAAAAAAGCTCAAACAACCATTTTGAAATCTAACGTATCTTATTTCTATGGCCAATGCCAAGATTTTACGCAGAATTGAATTCAAATTCCAAATTTTCGTGGCCAGTGATCTTCGCGACCCCGGTTATGACAGTGAGATCTGTGCCGGTGTGGCAGGGCTGGGAGAAGGCCAAAGATCCCTTATTATTATTATTAATAATAATGTAAATTCAAATTGTAACATGGTGCACATTATACAAACCACAGACAAACAAGAAAGCAGCCATGCAATATGCCAGCATCAACAACCGTCCAAGCTCTGCACTCCTCCATATATTGAGGTGTTAGCTGCCAATTAATGAGCGTTTAGCATGTCAGAGGAAACCGGAGTACCCAAAAAAAACCCACGCTTGCGAGGGGAAAAACATTATCCCATTCAGACGGAACAGATGGAAGTACACATTTTCGCTGTTACTGCCTCCTCCTGGCAACCCAGGGCATGACACCTCGATACTTGTGTCATCCACCAACCCTCGCCTCCACGGCGTTGGATCACGAGCGTGCGCCACCACCTCCCTGGGGTTTTATGAACTTAAACGTCACCTTATGGGATGTCGACTGTGGTGTCCCAAAGCACGCTTCTCACCTCATATCCCTCTGCTCATGCCCCAAACCCCTGAAATTCCCTCGCTTCATTAGACGTCCCCGTTTCCCTCTCCCAGCTCAATTGCAACCTGACGCGGAGCTGTCGATTAATTGCGAAAGCTTCCCTTGCAGATGTATTTAACGTCATACACCCTTTGTTAACGTACGAGGGCAATAATTACCCTGAACCGAATATAATGCTCTCATTTACTTTTACTTCGAATGTTTTTTTTTTTAAAGAGTCCTTTGTAGAAGCCAGCTTTTATGAACAAACTTATTTTTGTTCGTAAATTTTTTTTTTAATTATTATTTTGTCATGCCGTTGTTCTACGTCCGATTGCTCGTCGCTTAATTTTTGTACTTTGTTTTTACTTAAACTTTTGTCATTTTGGTGACGAAGGTCACATTTGCAAATGAGACTCATCCTGCTCTGTTGAGTTCACACAGGGTTAAACTAAATACACAGGAACACATTACTCGCCCCCATCACAGATATGTTGAAACGCCTCCATGCTTGATTGAGCATTGTTGTAAATGTCAAAACACATTACAAGAACGGCCAACTGAAAATACATTTCGTTTCGTAGATAAATCACCAAGTTTTTAGTTTCCATATATAGTCGGTCCCCCTGCTTTTACGATGCAATGTGTTCCTGGAAACCCCGCCGTTGTAAATCGGATCATTATAAAATCGGACTTTCCCATAGATAGAACATCACTTGCCGATGTGTTTTTTCACTTTTATCAGCGATATTTAACAGGGCAAAATAGGTAAAGATAAACAAAAAGCGCTCGAGAATAACGCAAACTCCACGCCAAGCCACATCGGGAAAAACTAGACTGACTCCTATCAAATGTGTTTGGAGTAGCGTCGGAAGATGTGTCGCAAACCAATCATCCACGGTGGCACGATACAAACATTGTAAATGTGGATCGTTGTAAATCGAACTGTCTTAAGCTGGAGACCGCCCAGATAATTTTTGCCCCGAACCACACGCGTACATGACACTAACGTGTAGAACCATGTTCCACGCACCCTAAGGGCAGCACCAACTAGCGGCACTTCCGCACATTCTGTACTCAAGCCGTGCCCAGGCCCAACCTTACAAAGCCACAGACTGATGTCACCTTGGCATCTCCGTTCTCCTGGGCCAGGGGCACCATGGGTAGGCAGTCACCGCTGCCGTTGTCTGCCGAGAGAGCAGCGCCGTTCTTTTGCCCGGCGGGTGTCTGCACAAAAAATATGTGGGGAGGGAGGGTGGGGGGGGGGGGTAGGAGGGGAGGGAGAGGCATTGTCATGCTGTTATATAGCTCCTTTACCCAGGAAAGCTCATGACTCTTTTTCAGGAGGGTCCTGGCCACATTCTCGCAGTCGGGACGATGTTGCTGCTGTGTGTAATCACGATCAAGTAATTCACAGGGAAACATTTTTGCACTGGGATCTTTGGCCAATACCAATAACATTGTATGTTTTTTTTTTTCAGCTATGGGAGGGAACCGAATAACTTAAAATAAGGCCTTGCAGAACAGGGGGAGAAACACAGACTCTTCACAGAAGGGCACCAGAGTCAGGAATCGCATGAGCCGTCTGTCTTGCTTGTTCAACGCTATCTATGCCGCACGTCTCGTTAGTACTATAGAACTGTGGGTCTCGTTCGTGTTTGTCATCTCGCGTGCCGCAAGCCTTTTCGTCCGTTGTCCCCCATTCGTACGACTCTGTTAGCTCCACAACCGTGACCGCGTCCTTTCACGAGTGGACAAATCGACTCTCACAAACACGAGTCAACGCACGCGTTCCCTACGCGTCCGAGTCCGTTTCACTCGAAAAATCCACGCCGACCAGCGGCCACGAGGACAACGGGTCATGCACACCCATGGAGTTTCCCGCGTTTGTCAAAGTAAGAGATGAATTTGCGATAATACGGGACCTGACACTGCGGTGTAATGGTTATTACGCTGCACTTGCAACCCAGCGGGTTCGAATCCATCTCCCTGCACTGCAGTTGAAACATCGATGTGAGTTTCTTAAATCCCCCCCCTCCCCCGCCACCTCTGTCCACCCAGCACAGTTGATCTGCAGGTGGAGTGTAGTGGGGTAAAGTGTGTGGGCACTCCCTCCTTTTCCAACACGTCTGGTCAGCGTGGAAGAGTAGACCAAATACCCTCCAGAGCTCCCTCTAGCGGAGGCCCTTCCGCCGACAGTGGCGCGAGCGCGCAATTGCAGGGCTGTGCCTTACGCTCCAAGCCACGCAACCAGATGATATCACGCACAGTGCTGGTGTTTTTATCGGCACATTTTGGCAATAGACCTTCGGTCGATGTGGCCGGATTTCTCGAGTCAGTGTATCGGAGCAGCACAGCTGGATACTCGAATGGTGTCCAGATTGTATCACGTCTACAAGAGCCGTTATAGACATGTGGGCGCATAGCGCAAATGCATTTTACACTTTTAGCCTTCGCTGTAAAGTTAGAAAAAAAAACATCGCATATCAGAAAAACTGGCTCGGATAGCCCCCCCAGGCGCCGTAAACCCATGGGCAGCCCCCCATGCATCTCAGGGCAGCAGTGGGTTGGGGGGGCGGGCACGCAGGCGGAGGGGGAGCGTTGTACAGGACAATAACGCCACTGTGTTCTGCTGACAAACACTGCGCCGCCCACTGATCCTATTACGAGTCACATGATTTTCTTTAATGAAAAGCACCCGTAAAAAATAATCAGAGAAATCAATTAAAAAGCAACTTAGTTTTGCACTACGTGCCAGCGCTGGTTGTGCGATGTTGATGCACGACCTTGCCGTATGGAATCTGCCCATGATGTACAGTTGCTTGTGGATTGGGTTTGTTCATGTATTTTGCTGTAAACAGGTTACCAAAGTGTAACCATGTTCCCACAGAAAATGAGGATTTATTGCCCAATGGCTTTTACCTGCGCTGAAAACCAAAAAACCCAATAACTGCGCTTGTGGTATGGTGCGGGCATTTCACCATTTCTCAATTACACTGAGACATTAAAAATTCCCAAGGTGCGAGGCATAGCCCTTCGTCCCTGGACTGCTGAATGGGGGCCTCCCCACACCGAGCGCGACGTGGTGATTATTTGGCAACACTTGCACACTTAAAAAAGAATCGATCGTCACATGCACAATTCATTGCCGTGTATCACGAGCACAAGAATCAAGGTAAATCAATGAATGACAGCAAGAGGTCCTTTTTACGTTCTACAGGCAAACACAATCAGAGAGCAGTGAGCGGAACTGAGATCAGAGATTTCTTCCTCAAAATCCCAATGAAAAACATCTCATGATCATGGGGCGGAAGAGTGGCTCAGTGATAACACTTCCGCCTCACCACATGAAACGCTTCGGTTCAACTCGTGACTCAGGAAGCTGTGTAGAGTTTGTGAGTTCTCACCCTGTCGCCCTGTACGAGTTTCCTCAAGAGCTCCCCGACCTGGTATTGGACAGAAATTCCAATCTTCTTTGGTTCTTTTGGTAAAGTCACGTAGAATGAGAATAAAATAATAAATTGATAAAATAAAATAACACAATAATATTCTCACGACGTTTCGGCCACAACACAAGCGGCCTTCATCAGGTGAAGGGACGAGACTGTCTGGTAGGACAGACAGAGAGGAGCTAATAAGCAGCAACACTGGTAGGACAGAAAGTCTCGTCCCTTCACCTGATGAAGGCCGCTTGTGTTGTGGCCGAAACGTCGTGAGAATATTATTGTGTTATTTTATTTTATCAATTTATTATTTTATTCTCATTCTACGTGACTTTACCGAAAGAACCAAAGAAGATGAATCCTTGCAGTCACGAAAGCTTTAAATCGAAAAATTCCAATGCTGAAAATATGACCTGCAAATTACTTAGTTGGGACTACAACCAGCAACGTCGCCCTCCAACTGCAAAATAATTTGCAGGACCCTCCTGAAAAAGGTCTTGAGACTCAATGAGGCTTTCTTGGGTAAACAAGCGATATAATAATAATAGATGATGATCATCATCATCAGCCGTGATTAATCTATTGGCTGGCTACAAACTCGATTAGATGCGAATTAATGCACCGATTAGCACGTGCCGGCATACAATCCACACACTTGCCCTCGTTTGTCAATTAAAAGGCGAGGGCACAACCCTTCCACTGCTCGCTCACGCCACTGCTGGCAGAAGGGCCTCTGAGAAAGGAAGCTTCGAGAGCAGTGGCTCTTAACCTGGGGTGCGAGATGCCCTTTCTGGGAGCGTGAGACATGGACAGATTTTTTTAGAAGGTAAATAATCGAAATACAAATTAAGCACAGGCATGTAGGTACAACCACTGCTCGAGAGGGAATTTGGTTTACTCTTAATTACTGGCCATATGCCTTGGAAGAGGTAGGCATAACCCACAGTTTACCCCACCACGTACACGACCTACTACTGGTCGACTGTTGAGAATCCATTTGACTAGCTGCTGGGTGAAAACAGGCAGTGGGGGGGGGGTTAAGAATCTTGCACCATCGTTTCAACTGTCGTGCCGGGAGATGGAGTCCAACCTCTGGGTTGCAAGTCCAGTGTGCCGACAACCAAAACGCAGTTTTAAAACATCTCACATTCACTACTCGATATAATTACGTGTGGCAAAACCGGTCACATTTTTCTGCAAGCGGCTACTGATAACGCAACAAAAACAACCCCAACATACAAGCAGACACACGTACACACTCAGCTAAAGACACGCACGCATTCGATACACCGGAAGCAATGAGCGATGGCGCCGTGCCCATGCGGTCGCTCACCGCTCATGACATCTGCCGACGCCCAACTAGCCCCGAGTACTTAGACGTGACTCGCTCGCTTGACATTTGCCGGTTACACCGACGCTGTCCGGACAGTCACAATCGTTTTAAGCGTGCGTGCACTCCTATTCCCACGCGCGCGCGCGCGCACGTGCACCTGCCATCTGTGTGCACAGAAGCTGCCCCTCTGCTCCTCCCCCATAACCAAAAATAGCAGCTTTTTTTCCCGCATGACCACGGCATACGCACACAATGCGCATGCAACAGCACCGGTTTGCCGCGCGTTTAAATATTCAATACCGGTAACGTATCTCGATGCCGTGGCGTGCCGCGCACCGTGTAGATGGACTTCTGTCGGAGAGCAATCTGCGAGAGCGGCGCTCTTTGGCCGCGCGTGACGCACGCCGGACTGGAAAAAAAACAACTCTGTGAAACGCGCACGTGCCGCCGCTTCATTGCTCTCTGCTAATTGTGCGTTTGATTTGTGCCCTGTGCACACGGCGATAATCCGCCATCTGGCTCGGTGGTTCCACGTGGGATGAAGAGACACTGTAAGCGTGGCGCTCGGAGGAGAGCGAAAACGCTCTCAACGGATTCTCTCTGCCTTTCATTTTACTTGCACATAAGAGGAATTACGTGTACACATGTAATTAACATTGTACGTCACGGTGACATCATTATAGGGCCGTAATGACACGCTTGACCGTTACCATGAAAGCCTTTACACATTAATTAACGAGGCTTCAAACTTTCCCGGGACAGGCCATGACACACTGCCTAGATATAAATCTACAAGATATCTTTAGAATTGAATTTTTCAATTGCATGATGACTATCTGCCTCATACTGCCTTGATGAATGTGCTTTACCTCGAGATTTGAACAATTCACCAAGGACCTACTGCCAGGGGCGGAGCCACAGGGGGGGGCTGGGGGGGGGCTCAGCCCCCCCTGAAATTTTGGGAAAGTCGGTAATCGGGATAACCGGATATCCGGCTGCTGCAAAATGCTGCAGGCTGCCACCTTGTGCTGCCCTGCAGGCTGCTTGAGCGGCAGCCTTTCGAACTTATCGAACTTATTAGCCACATCAGCGGCTCCGACCTATTAATAAACTCCGCGTTCAAATCCAATAAAATTTGTTTTATACATTTGTGGCGCCCATTGAAAACATTACACTGGATATCTCTGAATATTGAAATCAGCCCTCCCAAAGCCAAAATCCTGGCTCCGCCCCTGCCTACTGCAATACAAATGCAACATGCCTTTATATAATAAATAAATATATACTTTGTTGTTGTCTCATCTGTCACTTTCCATTTCACTCCTAGAGCCTAGTTCCTGTAATTACTTGTTTTTAAAATGTTCCTACAATGCTGTTGCGCAAGTGGCGTGCATCTCTCTCATAGCCACAGTCAATCCACTGCTGGATGAAGGTCTCCCCAAGCGGTCACC